GTGCTCGAAGACCTGAAGGCATTCGGGGCCGACCACGGATCTACGAAAACCGATCCATGTTGTCTCGGAATCCCGGTACCGAAGACAAGGCACCGAAGTAAAGGTGGACGGAAGCCGCGAAGGTGGAGGGGGGAGTACCCAAGGATGCGGCGGTGCTGCAGGGAGCTGAGAGGTTCATGACCTCCTGGCACGAGAAGGAAGAAGAGGCCAGCCGACAACGGGCGCTCAAACGAAACCACAAGCCACCAACCAATGGGGCGGGATGGGGGCAGGAGATGGACGAGACGGCGAGGGAAGAAAGCAAACGAGAAGAGACGGACCCAGTGGCGCGATACGTGCCGGATTGGATTTCTATTGGCTACTTCCCCCCGCCCAACGCTGTACCATTGCACCAACCCCCCACTAGAGATGACGTACCATTACCATGAACCGGTCGCTCCGGTGGTCTAGTGGGTAGCATCGCAGCCTGCTAAGGGCCAGGGCATGGGTTCGAGTCCCGACAGAGTGAGTTTTCTCTCACAGACTCACTAAATCCTGGTCTCCGTTGGAAGCGACGCGCTGCAAAGCTCGTTGTTGGTAAATTTGGAGGGGGTCCAGCCCCACCCTTCTATGTGGCCCCGGTTGGATCGTCTAGCTAGTAGAAGTGGAGGATAGAGGCCAGAGGAGCAGACGACAGAGTCCAATGATGGGAGAAAAAAAAAAATGTATCGCTCGTTGGTGGCCATGTTTGCGTGTTTGCTTGTTCGTTAGTGGTCTCTCCACCGTGTGCCTTTTCCTGTCTCTTGTATTTTCGGCCTGGTCCCTTTTTGTCCTCGCTGTTTTTCATTTTGTTTTCTTTTTCCTTTCTATTTTCTTTTTTTTTTCTGAATATCACACAACAAATCCATCTCCATCTATAGAAATACGTCTAAGATAGATTAGCAATGAATCCATAGCGTGAGCGAAAGGCTACCTGTATGCCTACGGTTTCCCAGACAGCATACAACGTTAACTCCCCTGTGGGTAACAGGCTCAACAAGGCAGTTTGGTAGCCATCTTGTGTATCTATCTGTATGTTATGTTGGGAAGTTCCTATAGCGCGCAAAGGGAGTGGAGGACTCCAGAATACCTGTCGTTGAATTCTATTGACTTGCGGACCCCTCGGGGTCAGTTTATTTGACTGCACCTTTAGGGTAAGTTACCTGTGACCACGGGAATCGACCGCGTCGAGTGTTGGATCAGTACGGACATACGAATGTACTGGGTAGAGAGAGATCGGAACGGCTTGTAATGTGAAGACAACAACAACAACAACACATGTGCATTGCTGAGAACGCAGTTGTCCATGAATGTCGTTCTCGGGTTCCAACTGAAGTACAGTATGAACAAGGGAAACACAACGAACAGCCGGCTACCTATGTACTACTGCTGTCCATTCATTGTACGCAGCAGGATAGTAGAGGGAAACACACCAGAATGGGAGATGGGCAAGTCCCTGCAAATGGCCGTCGGCAATACTGTTGTATGTGCACATGTGATATGTATGCATACATATGAAACGTCGGATGCTTCTCGCGCGACCAGACGCGCAACGAGCCACAAAATGCATAAAATTTCTTGCCTCTTTCTACCGTGCCGCAAAGATGTCAACAGACAGATTTCTTTGCTGCGTTGACCGATTGAAACGTTAGTCTACGCAGCAAAATCGATTAAGCAAACATATGGGATAAAGTATTCAATCCGTGGTTTGGGGTTAGGGTTAGGGTTAGGGATAGGGTCTGCGTGCCCCCTCCCTGTTCTTTTTCTAGATAATCTTAAAATCCCGCGTAGGCGGTCCGATTGAAAAAACACGCACAAACACACCACGTCGCCAAAGAGGACAAGAGGGGAGCGGTGCACAAGCCACTCTGCTCCAGACAGCAAAGTCATGTATGATACTACAAGCACACCACAGCAGCAGTCTGTTAGCGGGTGATCTTGTGTGTAGGAATCATTGATGAAGCAGAAGCTCTCGCTGCGGCTGCAGTTCTAGGCAAATACATTTTGGGGCCCGCTCTACTTGAATTGAAGATGAGATCCCTTGGTGATGTTTGCGCCAGAAAACAATCCGGAAAATCCACCAAGGCTAAGGATGTGTCTTATCGACAGAATCAAGATCAGAAATCGAAATCAAAAATCAGTTTAAGTCCTGGAAGAGCCAACGAACATCTGCTGTGATTGGATGGAATAACTTTTAACCTGTCCGTCGGAAGCATTTGGATGGAGACCGCACGGAATCTTCCTCTGCTTAAACTCGAACTCAAATAAATGCAAAAACATTAAAATCGATGTCGACTTTTGCGAACAGCGCACGTGGCGGGCTATTGGGTGTGTAGGGGCCGGGTTTTTGTGCCGATTTGACACATCGAGGACCACGCCTTGGCATCTTGGCATGTGGAGGACACCCACCACTCACGCGCGAGCGGCAGTAAGCAGAGGAGACGATGTCACAGCCTGGGGCAAACGGTGACGGGCGGTACAACTTGGGGCCGAACACCCCAGCGCAACTGCCCAACAATAGTTGGGTTTCACGCGGCGCCGACGGCCCGTGGTGTCTGGCCTGCATCGCCACCGCCACCGCCATCGTCCCAGTACCTGCCGCCGCCGCCGCCGCAACAAGCGTAGGAGCGCGAGCCATTCTTTTGGGATGCGGCGCGACGCTGCGGACGTCGTGTCACGGAACTGGCGGGCTGTTCGCCGCTTGAAGTGGGCGCTTCACCGTGTTTCTCAATTTCGATTTTGATTTTGGTGGTTTCTCGATAAGACACCGCGGGCGAATTTGGGCGACTCTTCAGGACTTAAACTGATTTTTGATTTCGATTTCTGATCTTGATTCTGTCGATAAGACACATCCTAATCGCTAGTCCGTGCGGGATGATGAAAACAAACGAAAAAACACGAAAAAAACACGTTTGAGGAAGGCCCCAAAAACACATGGTTGCGTCGTGTTCGAAATCTGAAGCAAGCACGGGGAGCAACTGGCGCTCCGAGAGCTCCTAACGCAAGCGGGGAAGTCTAGCACAGCAAGTCTAATGTCCGCACCCGTGGAATATTCATTCATCACATGCGTTGTAGTGTGTGTGTGTGTCGTGGGCTCGATTTGCTGCAATGTTTTTCTTTCTCTCTTAGCGAGATCCGACGCAGCAACTTGCTGCTGCGTTTGCGGGCCAAGTGGGGAACTCTTCGCTCACTGTCGGGGACAGCAGCAGCGAGGTGGACCAGAGGGACGGAGGGGCTACACTCTAGGAGGGTCAGCCCTAGACCCGTCTGTCCGCGACAGACAGCCCCCACCGAACCCTCTCCGTCATACTTTTTAGTTTCTTTGCAACAAGAAGCAAGGCCTCTCCAGCGCCCCGCAAAATTTCGGAGACCAGTTGTTGTTGCACTCATTTTCCAAGTCGTTGGGGGAGCTCGCGACAAAGACACGACGGACGAAAAAACACAGGCAAGCTTGTGCAGGTATTTTGACCGCCTGCTTACCCCTCTGCGCCGCTTCCTGGCCGTGCTCAGCAGCTCCTGGAATTCCCCCTCCTCCATGCCCCGCACCCCGGCCAGCAGCGTGGTATGGTAGTCGTCGTCCCCGGGAAACATTGCCGCCAGGTCTGTTCGGGTCTGAGGGTCGGACATGGCCTCTTCAAGGCTCCGCTCGCGTCGGTCCATTAGGGCCCGAAAACGCGCGGCGGCCTTCTTCAAGTGCTCGGCACAGCCGGTGGGATTCCCCTGCTGTTGCTCCTCGGATGCCTGCTCCTCGCCACCCGGGCGGGAACCCGCCGCTGTCGACGTAGTCGCTTCGGGTGTTGTTTTACCGGCGACGGCGGCGGCGGCCGCGGCGGCGGCGGGGGCATCCATGTTGTTGTGTTGCACCGCAGCACCACCACCACCAGCAGAAGAACCGTCAGACGTTTCGATGGGCTCGTCGCCGCCTGCAGTGCCAGCAGGCGGCTCACCCGCCGCCGTCTCCGCGGCTTCTCGTTGGGCCGAGCCGGCGGGGGAAGACTCCGAGGCACCCTCCACCGCCGCCGCCGCGTCGCCCTCTCCCTCTTTCTGCTGCTTGTCGGGGGGAGGAGAAGAGGCACGACCCTCCTCCTCCTCCTCCTCGCTCTCTCGTTCTTGTTTCTCGGTGGGGCCCATGTGGTCGGGCAATGATTGTTGCGAGACGGGAGCGCCCTGCCCCAGCGGCGACGAGGCTCGTCTATCTACGTAGCAGCAGCAGCAGCTGCCTGTGCAAGCCGGACCCTCAGGGCTAGCCGGGGTTGTTGCGGTGCAGCCGTTTGGGTTATCGCTCCTCTGATGCTACGTAGAGTGATGTGCATGAGGCCCCGTTCCCTGAGTTTTTTTTGCAAAAATCGGCTCTTCATACACTATGAGGCGAGAGGGGGGCAGAGAAAAAATTCAGGACACGCACACATATCTGGGCATCCTACAGCAGTACATCGTATTGGCGTTGCGGGATTGACCCCACGCTGGCAGAGGAGATCGCGACACGATCTCGTCAATGTCCTTGTTGTCTCTACCCTGTCCCTCAGAAATTCCACGCATGAAAACCCCGAGCATGAGATGACGGAGGCATGGGCGGCGATTCGCCGCTCACACAACCGCGGTATCGCCGGTGGGGGTCTGCCGTTTCGTTACGACTCACACACAGAAGAGAAGGAAGGTTAGGTTACAGAGGTATTTTTTTCCGTGTTACCACAGGCACCCTCCTGTTGTGCACGCAGTCAGTCGGTGCACCACATTCGCGCAGACCCAAGAACCAGCTCTGTTTTTGACCCCTGCTGCGGGCACTGTTATCACTCGTGTCTCTTTCCATACCCCAATCATCTCTCTCCCTGCGCACCGTATGGGTATATATTTCTAACGGAAACAAAAATCTTCCATTTGTCTGGCGGCTGGAGGATGGTTGCAACATCCTGCACCGTTGGGCGCCTTTCGTTCAAAGCGATGAGCCAAACATAGCTGGCAGCATAAGTCTTACCCCGCGAGTTCGCACGTGTGTGCTTATACTAGATATGGGGGGATATGCCGCGTGGTGCGACTCAGTACCTTGCAGTAGTCTTATCTGCGATGCTAATGGTGCACGAATCCCGACACACACCGGCGTGAGTGAGTCGTTTGTCGTGCTGCAGGTACGAGTGCACCACAGAGGGACAGCAGGCGTGCTGCGGGAGCGACGATGATTGCACGTGCGGCCACTGTTCAAAATTTTGCACTGTACATGGTCGCCCCGGTGGTCTAGTTGGTGACCTCGAACCTTCTAGAGGTCAGGTCAGGGGTTCGAATCCCGGCGTAAGCGAGCTTTTCTTGCAAAGTGAGTTTTTCTCTCGTTTCCGCTCCTGGCCTAGTGGATAGCGCTAAATAGTTCGTGTGTACACAGAGGGAAGAGAGTGCTGAACTCTTCTCGCATAAAAAATTGAAGGCAAAGTACCGCAGGAGGGAGGGTAGAGAGGGGCTCTTCTGTGTGACCACGGGTTGGAGTAAACGGCACCAGTGCCGTGAGCGCTGATTTGAAGTGAAGAAAAAAGAAAAAAAGAAAAAATGCAGCTGATTCTTTCCGTTTTCATGCGCATGCACGAAGAAACAAATTGTTAAGTCTTTCCGTCAAGCGGATGCCACAAACCGCACACTACAGCCGACCCCGCTTTAAGGACGCTTGTGCTGAGGAAACTTCCTGCTCAAAGGAAACTTGTTTAGCTGAGCACCTGGGTCCCGGCAAGATATACGCTGAGACCTCGCATAGCGCGCAGAGGGAGTGGAGGACTCCAGAATATCTGGCGTTGATTTCTATTGACTTGCGGACCCCTCGGGGCCAGTTTATTTGAGTGTACTAAGGGTATAAGTTAGCCTGCGACCACGGGAATCGACCGCGTAGGAGTGTTGTATCAGTACGGACATACGAAGGTACTGGGCAGAGAGATCGGAACGGTTTTTAGCGTGACAACAACAACAACAACAACAACAACAACAACAACAACAACAACAACAACAACAACAACAACAACAACAACAACAACAACAACAACAACAACAACAACGATGAACGTGAACCCTAATTTTCTGCCGCGTACCCCCTTCTTGTGTCCTGCCGGCCTGGGGCAGCTCTTTGCACAAACCACGCACCACAGCAGTAGTGCAGAAGTAGCGACGCACAGACAACAGAAGTTGCGAACGGTCTGCTGCTGCTGCAGCTGCAACTGGGTGTTGTTGTTGGTATGGATAGATTCCTCCCATCTACCGGCAGTCCATCTGATACCGCCAAAAAACGAGTCGTGCATACCCTCGTCCCTCACCAAGGGCGAGCTTACCTCTCGCTTGGAAGACGTTCGATCCTATATTATGCAGATAGCGCCCGCAGTTGAGAAACGTCAAAATCTTTTCGAGCCTGACAAATCCCTTCTTTTTTGGGGTCGAAGTACCGGCCCAAGTCGTCCAATTCGTAAATGGCATTTAACAACATATTCGCCTGATTGAGAGCGTAGCATCTGATTGAGAGCGAGATTGGGCGATACGCTGTAGCCGGACTACCACTGAGAGGTGGAGCTTGCTGTGTAGCTTGAATTGAAGGGCTAGCCCGTAGCTTCAAGCCGCTACCCTGGTCATCCTGTGGGAGTCTCTCGTTGTGGAGCTACAGCGGGGAGCAGAAGCTACAGCAGAGCCCACCGCCCGACGCGATACCGCCCTGAAACAGTTTGAGCAGAAATAGCCAATCTGGGCAAATCTAGCAACTTGTCTAGCTCCTCGCTGCAGCATCCGATGACGATGACACGCATATGCTCGCGAAGCTGCTGATGAGACCTTCAATTTGCACCGCTTCTTGGAATAGCCCGTCCCCTACTTGCCAAGAAATGGCAAGAGGCGTCTGGACCCGAAATTTCAATTTTTTTGGCTCTCGCTCTCAATCAGATACTTCGCTCTCAATCAGGCGAATATGTTGTTATTTCTTCTTCCTTTGAACTGTCGCATCCTCCCGATTCTCTTATTAATAGGTATTATTTAGTCTATGCATATTCATTCATTAGAAGACTAAACAACGTATTTATTTATTTATTTTTGCCTTCCGACAATTGCAGATGTACCTCAGAAAACTTTCACTTAATGTCTCATACTCTACATGAATATTAAACCAATACGAAGTACAACAACATATGTAGGACTTATTTCTACTGTCATTTACATCGTAAAAGTATCTCCTCTTCAACTTACCAATGACAATCCTGATGGTATCCTATATGCGTTCGTAAGCTTGCTAAAATACTACTGCGTTGATGTCCGCTTGTAAAAGCTGAAATCCAACAAATGCTTTGATCCATGCTACATCTCCGTGTTGGAAAAGCCCTTTCTTCTCCGTTCATGATAACATCTTACCCTATTCTACGCAAATCTGTCACATCTACTCTCAAACAAGACGCCAACTTCAAACGAAAACGCGTTCTACGATGCGTCTACACTCCATCCCCATATCATTGGCGTTGACTGGTCCGAGGTCGATCTTGTTCGCCTGTTTTCGGCGTCTTGACGCCCGCGCAATGCGAGCTTGTACCTCTGCACTCGCCGAGATAATAATNACGAAGTACAACAACGTATGTAGGACTTATTTCTACTGTCATTTACATCGGAAAATTATCTCC